ATATTAAAGAGGAGTTTCCACAATTTTTCCCCACAATCCTGGCCATTCATCTCTGGGAACCTACAAAACAATAAGCACTCGCGCCTCCTTTCAGTGTAGCACTCCCTCACGGAATGTGACCATTGGTAATTCTTTGTTTATCCAGCCTCTTCCAATTGTGCCAACAAATTCATGACACGGTATTGTCGACACGTGATCGTTTGGCAGTTGAAATGGAACAGAATAAGGAAGAGGCCGAACGAACTTGTCGGCAACAAATCAAAGAGATCACTTCAATTATGGTAAATTCCATTTTATTTTGGTTTGACTGAAAATTGGACGAGTTGCTCTTGTAGGGGCCTATACGGCTTTGCTTGCTGTCTGCACAGATTCTATGCTCTTCGGCTTCACCGATAGACGCGCTTCAGCTTTCCAGTGAACTTCACAAACGAGTGCAGGTATACCTTAGCTGACTGACGTTATGGGAGTGATTTTTGAAAGGTGTAGGGACAAACCCTGACTGTTGGCCTTTGCGAAGACATCGCCGCGACATACCCTCCCAGCAGTGTATGTCATGGCGATGTTTTTGCAGGTTCACAAAGTTTTGTAGCAAAATCGCTCCCGATTTAGGGTTATAAAAATCGTTTATTGTTTTTTTCATTTCAGTCTATTACATCAAGATCTATCGACAAACTGTCTACAGTCCGATCAATCGATCCGGTAGAAGCTCGCACAGAAATTGCAAAGGCTCTGGAACCGTTCCTTGGTAAGACTTTGACCGATACTGTAAGTTAGTAGTTGGTGATCATGCTGAAGGTTTATCTTACGGGAATCGGTTTTATTCTATTGAGGGCTTCTGATAAGGCTTGGTTAGGTCTGTTTTTCCTCACTGAGTGAAGACTTCTTTAGGATTGTCAGCCGCATGGTGCCCAATAGCCATTGCCCGTGAAGGCTCTCAGGAAGACAGTGGAAGCATGAAATCTTATAAAACTCGTTCTGGGTAAGACATAGACACAATTTCGCATTTTAAATCTTATTTTTGATTTGTCCAAAACTTCGTCTTTTGACTATTCCTAATCTCTGTTAAGATCGCACTCAATGCCAACGATGTTAACGAAGTTCCAGACAATGATCGATCTTTCTGGAGCGTTCGGATCAATATTCGCCAGAGTTGAAGGTGAGCTAGCGAATTAAATTTATTCAAGCCCTAGCTTCATAAAATGTGCCCAGAACTGTAGAAGTAATTGTAGCAAAAAAGCGCTTTGATCCCAAAAATCCGTTGTAGGTAATCACTTTTCAGAACCTCTAAAAGAATTGTCTGTCGTTCTAAGTCAACTTGGCGACAGAGTACAAGAAGCACAGAGGGACCTCACAATGAGACGATGTCTGATTCGTGCCGATTCCATCAACTCCATGATCAAAGAGTGCGTTTTTCTGGGTCTATGTATTAAGAAGTTCCAACACTCATGTGCAATTGGTCCCTACTTCTGTTAGATTGTATCTGCCAAAAATTTCACTGGAGTCCACATTTTGTGTGGGATTTTCTGGAAGCTCCCGAAGAATTACGATGTAGGGCCACTACTCACTGTATGCGCATAACATATCCGAACATTTTGTGACAACACAGTTGAGAATCTCCGTATCAAAGCTCATCTTCGACCTTCTTGTTTACGGCTTTGAAGCCTTGGAACGATGCATGTAGAAGATGCTCGATAGGTCTCTCGAGGACAGACACGACACAAGTTTATATAGGCTTCAAAAACTGAGTGGCGGGTTCGAACTCATAAAGGCACCGTTTACGATAAATTTAGGGTACCTTTTTTTGACGGGAATTCATAGAACTACTCTAGAATAAAGCCATAACAACGAAAAAAGCGTAAAATATACGATGAACAAAAAGAAATGGAAAGGGTCAAAAAAGAGCTGGAAAGGGGGTTGGACGAGTTTCACATTGGAAGAACGGCGGTTA